AACCTAACCCTAAACCTAACCCTTAACCTAACCCTAACCCTAACGCTTGACGTAACCCTAAACCTAACCCTAACCCTTAACCTAACCCTAAACCTAACCCTTACCTTTATGTGAATCGGCTTGCTTTAATTTTATTTTATTTTTAATTTTATTTGTTGCGCTGCTGATGACGTCACGTACGCGCTTTAATCGGGCGCGCTTTAGTGGACCGCGGTTTTGTCGTGCCACGAATGCAAAGAATATTGAAATAAAAATATTTTCATATTCTTCATTTTCTCTTACATTTAAAGCACCAATTATATAAATCATTACTAGGATGTGCAAGCTTGTATTTTTTCTACATCTGGAATAAGAACTGGTTTTAAAAAAAGAATGAGCATAATTTTCCTGATGTTTGAGCTTGATTGCAGCCTGCTGAAAATCCACTTTTCACAAAGACGCCATGAAGAAAAAGGTAGTATGTTCTTTAGTGTTTTTGAGGAAGTTTGTGGAAGACAGTTTAAGAAATACAAGTTTCTGGTGATATCTTGAAGTTTAATATTTGCTTATTCTTAGCTGAGAACCATCAAAAAGAAAAAGACTGTTGCTCCCTAATGTAAACATTATGGAATTCTTTTTATGTAAGGTCTCTCTTCAACTTTTCACCCCCTTTTTCAGGAAAGATGAAAAATATGCTTGCTTCAGACTGACTAAAAGACGGGGCAGGCTGTGAGTCTGTTTAATGTTGTATTTATTGCTGCTGGTGAGCATTTTGATTTTATATGATCACTAGATTTATATTAAACTGAGTTAGGTGTTGAGTACAGGCAAGTCCTCGACTTACGGCCACAATTGAGCCCAATATTTATGTTGTTAAGCGAGACATTGAGTTTTGTCCCATTTACAACCTTTCTTGCCATAGTTGTTAAGTCAATCCCTGCTGTTGATGAGTTCGTTACCCAATTGTTATGTAAATCTGGTTTTCCCATTGAGTTGGCTAGTGAAAAAGTTGCAAAAGGCAACCACAAAACTTTGGGGCACAGCAATGGTCCTAAGTATGAACCCAGTGCCAAGCCTCTGGATTTTGATCACAGGAACCAGTTTGGCTTTCTAGCTTTGGCATATTGGCTGGGGAATTCTGGGACTTGGAAGTCCACAAGTCTGAAAGTTGCCTAGTTCAGTGTTTCTCAACCTTGGCCACTTGAAGATGTCTGGACTTCAACTCCCAGAATTCCCCAGCATTGTTGTAGGCCAGTGTTTCTCAACCTTGGCCACTTGAAGATGTCTGGACTTCAACTCCCAGAATTCCCCAGCATTGTTGTAGGCCAGTGTTTCTCAACCTTGGCCACTTGAAGATGTCTGGACTTCAACTCCCAGAATTCCCCAGCATTGTTGTAGGCCAGTGTTTCTCAACCTTGGCCACTTGAAGATGTCTGGACTTCAACTCCCAGAATTCCCCAGCATTGTTGTAGGCCAGTGTTTCTCAACCTTGGCCACTTGAAGATGTCTGGACTTCAACTCCCAGAATTCCCCA